CACCTGCTGCTCTGGATACCCGCCCGTTCCGTCTCATTTCTTTCCGCCTGCTGACTTTCCTCACAACTGACATACCCCTTCCATTCGCATGTTTCCATCACATTTTTGCCTGGGCCTCTGCAAATAATCCACAGCAGCACGTGAGGTGCTGCCAGGGGTTTGCGATGTTGCTGGTGGCAAGCCTGCGCAGCCTGTGTCCCCAGCCATTGCTTGTCGAGCAGCAGTGAATTCTTGCATCAGCAGTCCCAGTTGTCAATTGCAACTGCATGCATCGCCGTGTACAGCGTGCCAGCTACCACTTTGCCCCTTTGATTGCAGTGAATTGCATGCATCCAGTCAGATAGCAAACTGGCGTGCTGATATTCTTTTGCAACAAGCAGGGGCGTGACGCTTCACCGGGGCGTTCTCACAGCAGGCTTGTGGAGCACTGTAGAACAGGCATGTTTGAGTGGTTCCAATGCAGCAGGCAGCTCTGCAGCCCCACAGTTGTGCGGCTTGCCTCGTGTAGTGCTTGCAAACCTGCTTGACCCCCTTTGCGACCTTCACTCTACCTTCCATGGCTCCCGCCTGGGCTTTCTTCATTGTCCCACATCAGCAGCAGGAGTAGCAGCAGCAGGTGAGTCATGCGGGGTATGTGGCGATTCTGCCAACCTGCATCATCGGGTGGTCGCTTGTGGTGCAGCCATGAACCAACTTAGCAGCAGTCCCGGTTGCCGACCATGCGGCTGGGTTGCACAGACGGCATATGCAGGGCACTGACACCAACATATGACATGCTGTGCCTCAGTTGTGCATTTGTGCATGACCCATCTGCAAAAACCCACATGCTTTGATGAACCGTTTGAGCAGCACAGAGTTCTGCAGCACTAGCTGCATGGGGCAAATCAGGCATGCATTGCCTCACCTCTCGCAACAAATGCCGCTGTGTGGGGCTTGTGCTCAGCATGTGGCCGCTGCTAGGGGTGGGAGAGTATCTCTGCATTGGCTCCCAGATGATAGCGGGGTTGGGGAGCAGCCACGTCTCTGCAGCTCGGCCAGTGTGCTGCTGTAGGCATTGCTGCAGTGGTTTTGGAACCATGTTGCATGCTTTGCTGCTTGTGCCCAACTCGCCTGAACTTCTTGATCAGGCAGCCAATGACAATACTACTCACGTGATGCTGCTGCCCTGGCCCCTCCTTCCACCTCGAAATGTTCAACAGCATGCACCACCTCAAGCGCTGTCGCACGTGTCCAACACAAGCTTGGCTTATGAATGGAAACATCCGAGCCTGTGACACAGCCAAGTGTGTCTGGCCCATCAGTGCCCCTGCTAACAAGCTTGCATGTTGCTGATGCCCCGCCCGCTCTACACAGGCGGCATGCGGACGCTGTATGAAGCGTTTGCTGCACCTCTGCCACAAGCCTCTACACGAAGGACCATTGGCAACACATCAAGCAGCTTTAAGCAGCGTGACCCAGCTCCGGCAGCAGTGTTGACCTGGAATTACACTGATGCCACCAACCAAGAATCGCCCCCGCTGCGCTCCACCCTGGTTGCCTACCAGGACACTGCCGACCGGATCTGCCGCCGGTGAGCTTTCGTTCGTGTGCTTGGGCCACCTATCCCTCACAGCAACTACCCCTCGCTTTCAGCAGCTGACGCTTGGCGATCAAGCGTCAGCTGCTCAACGCAACCATATTAAGAATTGCGGGCTGATGACGTAGTTCCCAAATGAGCAGGCCTGCACACCAGTGTGCTCTCAAGGTATTGAGGTCGCCGTTTAGTTGAGGCCCACCGCCATCCCATGCTGCCATGTGGGTCTTTGCAGGTTGCCCATCCCTTCGAGCAAGATCTTGCAGGTGCACTCCGAGGCGGAAGCAGCTTCTGCGCTCTCATACTGTGTGTTGTTGCCGTTGCAGCTGGTGGCGCAGGAGGTTCAAGGCAGCCAGCAGGCATGCTGGCAACAGCAGGCACAAAGCTGCATCATACAACAGGCTGTGCAGTTCTTCCCCACCAGCGCTGCGGCAACAGAGCTCCCAGTGGGAACCCACCAGGTGCACACCTTGATGTGCAGGCCTGCTGCTGTGGATCGAAGACATGCAGGCTGCATCGCCAGCCTCATCACGCTGCATGGCTTACTGCTCGCAAACCAGGGCTTGTCAGCATCCATGAGGTCAGGGCATCCTGATCCACCACACATTCACCCATGCTTCTGTTTTCCTGCTCGCGCAGCAGCCTCAAGGCCGCACCTCCGCTGCAGCGCAGGCGGGGCCAGCCGTGGCAGCACAGACGGCGCCGGCCGCCGCAGCACAGGCAGCGCAGGCTGCCGCAGCACAGGCGGTGCAGGCGGGTGCCACGCGTGCCCGCCGGCAGAGCAGGCCGTCCTCTGCAGACATCAGCGTGCAGCATGCAGGCTCAGGGTCTGGTGCGGTGCGCGACAAGATGGATTTTGTTTTAACGGTGCCAGGCGAAGAGGGACAGGACCGGGAGCGCTGCATCTGTGTCGGCGAGGTGAAGCGACCAGGCGTGCTGCTCCTGCATGGCGGCACAACAGCTCCCCCAGACCTGGTGGTGGCCTGGCAGGACAGCCACCACCCCCTGCACGTGACAGCGCGGGCCGTCTTGTCCCAGGTGTTCCGCTACATGCAGCTGTGGAGGATGTGCTACGGGTTCATCAGCTGCTGGTTTGCGACCTGGCTGGTGTGCTGCCCAGCAGACAGCACCCACCGGAACAACTTGTACGTCAGCGCAGCCTACAAGTCGATCGACACCCGCCCCAGCGTGATGGCTGCGCTCGCATGGCTGCAGCAGCAGGCTCTGAACGTGGACCCGAATGCAGTGTCTGTGTACGTCCCGCAGCGGCAGCACACCGGCCCCAGTGACGACAGCAACGGCGCTGACGAGGAGGGCATGGATGAGAAGCCGGAGTGCACGGACTCGGATTACGTGCCATGCAGGTGTGTAAGTGCTTGATGTGTGTGGGCATGCCATGCTGCTGCATGTGGCCTCAGCTTGCCCAGGCACTAAAGTGTTTCTGGGCCGCACCAGGTGTCTGGGATATTCGACTGTTGTTTGTGGTGGCTAGTGGCCCGCACAACACCTGCTCATGCGATTACGCCCCCATAGTTCGCATGAACTCCCTACATGGTAACAAGTATACCCTTTGCCAAACCCTTGACCAGTTCCCAAACGGCGAAGGCCAAGCGCAGTCGTGGCGGCAGCAGCAGCCTCAGCAGCTGGCAACGGCAGCCCCAGCAGCGTACCTGCAACACCGGTCCCCACCTCCTGCACAAGATTTGCAGCGGCAGCGCTGGCGACGTCATGGCTGGGGTGTACAACGGCATCCCTGCCGTCATAAAGCTGCTGGGGCCTGACAGCGCTGGGCTGGAGGCGTTTGACCGTGAGGCGCGCAGCTACTCTGTGCTGCACCAGGAGCAGGGCGAGGTGGTGCCGCAGCTGCTGGGGGTCGGCTGGTATCCGCTGGCTGGCGTGCGCTACCTGGCAGTGCGCCGCATCCAGGGCAGCCCCCTGTCGGGTCTGCCGACCATCCCACCATCAGTAGCAGCTGCTGCGGTGAGGGCCCTGGAGCGCGT